GCAGATGATTTTTACACCGACATGCGTGACGAAGACCTCTATGATGAGGCACATACCATGCAAGCGATGTCGACATACGACAAAACTCGGATGAGTCCATTTTCACTGGTGACGACGAAGATACCACCTTCGTTTGATGGAAAAACATCCTGGCTTGCAAATGAAGATGCAATTTATGACTGGTGCGACATAACTGACCTGGACGATGAGAAGAGAGGGCCCTCATTGCGTAACAAACTTGAAGGAGACGCCGCAATCTACAAGAAGATCCTGGACAGGGATGCCTTGAAGAACAAGGAAGACGGCGTTCTGTACTTCAAGAGAATGCTGCGGCCATTCTTTGTGAAGGGCAATGCGAATGTCTTTCTAGACCGGTTTCAACAGTTTATGAATTTGCGCCGTGGTTCATCTAATCTTATGAAATGGATGTCAAGATTTCAAATTCAATTGAAACGCCTGGAAGAAGCATGGGGTGATACTTTGACACCCATCAGTGATCCAGCACATGATGAAGTTCGACAATATACACAATCTTTGTTTACAGAGGGGCGACAGGCAATGACGGCCGCCCAGATCCTGACAGCTGTCAACGAAAGGAGAAGACAAGCCCACTTTGAGAAGGTGCCGCTGACGAAAAACTTGATTGGACTCCTTTTTGTATCACATGCAGAGTTGAGCTTTGATCAAAGGATGTCGCTGACCAGCATTATGGCACATCGTGGTATAGATCTGGTCGGATTGGACGCCGGCACTCTGAGAGACATGTTTATCGAGATGTTTTGCAATTCCAGAACAGTAGTGGACAATCCACTCCTTAACAATACCGGCCACGGTGGCGCAAGGAGCTTCATCGTGATTGATGAAGGTGAACTGGATGGCTCCTTCGGTTTTTGGGCCGAAGATGAGGATGATGGAGCAGAAGGCTTTCTGGATGCGCATGAAGACACTTTCCATTTTACGATGAACAAAACGATTCATGGTTCCAGCGTCGCTTTAAAGGCCGAAGATCAAGAAAAGGCAAAGGGAAAGGACGCGGTGGAAAGAGCCGCGGCAGAGGCCGTGGGGTCCGGAGATTCTTTAAATCTCGCCGAAAGAAAAAGGGCCACTACCAGGAGGACCACAGTCAGTCTGACGACTGGTCGTGGCAGACTGAAGAGGCCTGGCGGTGGCAAGATGGCTGGTCAAGTCAGCCAGACGCAGCAGACTCATGGCAATTTTGGGACCAGGAATCAGCACATGAGCATGCAGAAAATTACAAGTCTAAAGGTAAAGGCANNAGGCAAGAAAGGTAAGAAGGGTAAACATGGTAAAGACAAGAAAGGTATTTCTAATGTAGCTTCGTCGCAATCTGAGGCTCAAGCTGCAGTAGAAACCTCTTCTTTGCCCTCGTCTTTCTTTGCTATGCATCATGTAGGAAGCCCAACCAACGTTGGGGAACCTGAAATGACAGGCGCAACCTTTGGAGGCCCGGTCAACACTGGGGAACCAGATGTTGCGCCTGACGCCGACGCTGATCATCCTGAGATTCCTCGTAGCGATGAGCCTGATGATGCTGCGCAACTAGTCGATAATGATGGTGGAGGTTCTGCAGAAGGAGGCTCACTCGACGGTGAGGTACCTGTCCCCGACAGCAAGTGGGGCTCCATGCATCAAGGAATAGATCCTAAGTCTGAAGCTGATAGGGATTATGATCTCTATGTTGAAGACCTCGACAGTGATGATTCAGAGTATGGATCCTATTTCTGTGCTAGTATAGCAACGCCTCCAGTTCAGGATTTGGCTCCTACTGATTCATATAGACAGAGCTTCCAACAGCGATACATCATTGACCGGCACACCTGTAGCACCGGTCGGGTCCTCAGTCCTTGGCGTGGCCAAACCTGGAGGAGGAGGTGCGGTATGGCTTGTTGCACCAAACAATCCAGTCAAAAAACCCGTATTAGCAGGCACGCTACTCTGAGGATCCGGAGCCACCGAATTGGATTCGCCAAGAATTCTCCCAACTGATGCCCTTGCAGTCTGATCATTGGTCACACGTTCATTGAAATAACCACGATATGGAGGGGAAACGTCAGGGGCTTCTCCTGCAGCTACTCGGCAGCGCTTGCAGTTGCTCTGGGCTGCTGCTGTTGCTGTGTAATGGCTTAGCTGTGACTGCAGCTCTCTGTTGCGCTGCTCTGATTGCTCTAGCCTTAACCTCAACCCTCCTAATTGGCGTTGAACCTTTCCCTGTATTAACTGATTAGGGGGCACCCTATGCCCTCAGCGGTCCAGGTCTCACAGGAGAAGGATTCGCTCTCGTATTCCTCGTGGCTGCAGAAGGCTTGGAAAAAATCACTTCTCGCACGCATATAATCTCCAAGGCGAGCCATCCACGACAACCCTGTCTGAGCTCGTTCCACTCCAGTGGCCCAGTTGGCCATTGAGCCGAACCCATACCGTGTCGTCCTTGGAGGCGTATGAAAGGTCTCAGCCTCTCTATCTTCCCGGAATAAATGCTGCTGGGGCTCTGCAGGAGGCCCCAAAGTTCCAAAAATCATTTTGTTCCGGCCGATTTGGGTCTCCTACGCCTGCTTCCAGCGCACCGCCTCTTCCGGGACCCATTTGGTCCTCTCCTGGTGTGAGAGTCACCCTTTCTGTGGCATGTTCAACAGCATTTGGCCGAGGCAAAATGCCAACGCCGATGTACTCACTATCCAGGGACCCATAACTGAAGCTTGCTGCGCAGCTGTCGCTTGGGCACTCGTAACCTGTTGAACGCTGCTTAACTCAGATGACACGCAGCTTCTTAGATTGCCATGGCACACAGACAGCGGGGTTAAAGTTCTTTTCCACAAAGCGAAAACGTGCATGCGCTTCACACTATGCTTTAGAGCTCTTTACAATCTACATCTCGCTTGTGAGAGTTACAAACGAGGCTGTAGAGCCTTGTACGATTGAATTCGTGAATTCAGTTTCACATGTACCCAAGGGCCATCCGTAGCCACACCCTGAGCCCAAGCGAAGCACACACGTCATGACTCCTGGCATTCACCCCACGGGTCAGGTAGATTTTACCCACTTGACGCCAACTACCACTGGGACAGAAATGGTCGGTAGTAGGGGATCTTTGATGTACTACGACGCTAGAGATTTTGTACCTCCCTATGCAATGGCAAGATTGTCAGCATGCTTTCCCCTACTCTCGATCAGAGAGTCAAAGAACAAGACACCCCAAAAGTTAGCGTCTATGACGACAGCATGCTTTTTGATCAACAGCCAGACCCTTATGACCATGATGAAGGTTTGTCTCCGTCACGTTTTTGGCCTCGGTCCCCTTGCGGACAAGTAGATGTTCCAACAGGTGAACCAGAAGCACAGGCTGATGGGTCAATAGGAGAACCTGAGCCTGCGCAAAATCAAAGTTCAATGTCAAACGGTAGTCTTAGACGCTATCGTGAATACATTGCTCAGGACACCCTTCAGGGCATTAGGGGAACTGCTGAAGAGCCCTTCCTGAGCACGCTATGTTTTACAATGTGCATTCATGTGTTGCCATTTGTTCTCTAGGCACATGTGAAGCCATGAGTACATTTTAATACTTTAATGTCCCTAAGCTTTGCATGTCGTAGTACAGTCCACGAACGTAGCACTTTCTTGTTTTTGTGCTCGCGTAAAAGTCTCCGCGCTTTGTGTGAGCCATGGTTTCAGGAGAGCATGAGATAAGGGAACTAGCTACTCCACTTATTTCTTCCTCTCAGCCTGCTGGTTCACTCCAGCAGTTCCTGTAATGGATTTAAGGAAAACCCCTTATTTGAGTGGTTTTGGAAGTTCTGGGTTTGCTTGTCGGCCTCGTTTGAT